ACTTTTAGAGGATGTAAACTAACGGTGCACCAATGCCCCCAGTGGTTACGCTGCAGCCTGTATGCTGTTACCGACTGCAGCCCTGTCGCTCAGTAATAGACCAATTTCAAATAAAGGTTTTCCATTTGTCAGTTATACACCAAAAAATACTTCCATAGAAATTCCTAACAACTACCTAACCACTGCATCTTGCTTTTCCAAGAAAACAAAAAATACCATCTTGTGAACTTCACAAGTTATTTACAACAAGGCAGGGATGTCGTAATGAGAAGCAGGCAGATTACATTTTTGCTCATCCCCTGTAAACAGCTGTGAATAATGTTGGTCTGTGTAAACTCACCTTCATTAGCTGGTTTAGTGTGAGAGAGCCTCAGCAGATCCTGATGTGACCATCCCTCTCTCTGTTTACATTTGGTCACAGCCACAGCCAGACTCATGGCATCTTGCTCATTGTACCAGTCAGACACTGCTTTCCTCAGCGCACGTCCCCAAATACCACACTTCATGCCATCTTTCAACTCCTTCTTGTTCTGGATGAAAGAAAACAGGTGGGCGGGGTCCCGACAGACTTCCTTAAGGGCTTTGAAGGCTGCCTGTCTGGTCTTCAGCTCCGAGTGCTGGGAGCACAAAGCCAAGGCAAAAAAGGAGGGGCCGAGTCTGACAGCTTGCCCATCCTGAGTGAACCTTTTTATCTCCTCCACCACCTCGGCACCTCGGCCCTCCTGCAGCAGGGACAACAGAGCTCCGGCGTTTTCCATGCTGGCGTGACCCTCCTCTCTGGCAGTGTATAGATCTCCCTCTGAGCCATAGCAGAGGAAGCGGCACAGTCTGGCCTTGTCGCCGACCTCCCAGGGACAGCCACCACCTGTTAAGTTCAGGGTGTGGTTGTTCGATGAGGATATCGTAGTACTTCCCGATGGCTCCATTGTAACACTAGAGGAGGCCTGGAACAGAAAAAGAGAATTTTATGAACATATATTCACTGGCCACAGTGACTAATAATAATCAGTGGGCTAAATGTGTGGAAATATGTATCAGAAGGGAACAAACAGGAATACAGGGAGGTCATCAAGGACTTTGTCAACTGGTGTGAGCTCAACCTACTTTGCCTCAACACCAGCAAGATGCCCCAGACTACACCAGTGAACATCCAGGGATTGGATATTGAGGAGGTGGGAACGTACAAATATCTCACTGTTCACCTCAACATTAAACTGGACTGGTCAAACAACATGGACATCCTGTACAAAAAGGCCCAAAGTTGTCTTCACTTGCTGAGAAGACTGAGGTCCTTTGGAGAGTACAGCCCACGATTGTGGACATTTTATGACACTGTGGTTTCATCTGCAATAGTTTACGCAGTGGTCTGCTGGGGAGGCGGAGGCACGGAGGTGTTATGTGATCGTACTTCTTGGTTCTGGTTAAAAGTCTAGCAGCTTTGAGAAATTATCTTGATTTCTTTTTTACATGTATGACCTACAATAGAAGGTACAATAAGTAGTACAATAAAGCAATCCATTGTCCCGTCACTGCTTACTCCTTTTAAATGTTATCATCCCTCACACTGACTGCCAATTTGATGTGTCACACACTCATAATTCCTACATGCAAACAGCTAAAAATAGGTTCCCCTAGAAGGTTCATTGATTAAATTTCATTTTTTTAGTAGTTTGCCTCATTATCAGGAAAAGGGTGTGCACAATACACTGATAGAGTCAATTAAATTCATTCAAAAATTCAAATTCATTTATAACTGTTTGTACTGGCCCATTCACTTATATATGTACATATCCATATTCTTTATGTTTATACTGTGCAACATGGCTGAGCACTTTACTACTGTGAAACATCTATCTATCTATCTATAGCTCAGATTTAATAGAGTAATACTAGAGTTAATTTTGCATTGATGTTACTGGTGTGGGGATTAAGCAACATGGGACATCAACTCATGCAACTTTGCAACCTCACCATCATGCCATCAGTTTGAGCTCCAGTAAAGTGCTGTAGAGCTCAGCAGCCAACCAGAGAGCCTCCATGAACACTACATAACGTTAACTCCGCTAGCAACAACACTAGTTGCCTCAGTGCACTGACAAAAATAACTTAAAGCGGATTACAGGACATGATACACATCAGACAGATGCAGGCCACACTGGGCCATTGATAGACGATGCTAGAAAACCCTAACTAACTAACTGGTTTGGCGACACTGGGTAAGCTAACGTTACCAGTTGAGGTTTGCTAACCTAGTTAAGCTACCAGAGGAGGGCAGTCTGGTCAATGCGAAGTTAGCTAACATTAGCCCACTGGATTAGCCCATTTAAAAATGTTATATTCATGATAAATAGGTATCTAGGTAGCTACGTAGTAAAAAATACCCAGCCTACTCCTAACGTCCTTCAGCTGCAGCTACACAGCTGTGTTAGCCACCCGGTTTCCTCTAACCACAAACTATCGGGTCCCACAGCTGAGCTTTTCCGAGCCGGACACCGGAAAGCGGGGCTAGCCGCTGCTTCATGCAGCCCGCCTGGGATGGGCAGCTGGTTCCAGCTCCGCTAACCTCAATTAAATGTGTTAGCATTACTGCGAATATACGATTTTATGTTAACTAAAACATCTCGAGCAACAAATACATGACAGATGACGAACTTACCACAGTATATGTGCACAGTACTCAAGTTTTTGATATGGCTAGATGCAAAGAGGCCTCCCCTCTGACCGACAGTGAGATAATCAGGGATGGTGCCGCGATGGATGCTGGGATACAGTGTGCCTTCACACACCCATCACACAAACACACACACACACACACACACACACACACACACAGCCACATCTCTCCCTCTCTGAATAGATTTCATTTGGAAGTAGAGAATTGTCATATTTGAAGTACAAATGTTGAAACGGCAGAGTATCTGTTTTATGAGTGTGAAACAGTTCAGAATTTATGGAGATCGCTTCACAACTTGTTGTCCTCCAAATCTATAAATGTGGATTTCTTTTCTTGTGAAAATATTCAGATGGGAGTAACCCTCAAAAAAAAAAAAAAAAAAAGAATTTTTGGTTAACAGTTTGATTATTGCAACAAAATATTACGTACAAGTCCTCCCCCTCATGGTGTGCACTTAAAAATGAACTCTCTCTGCTTCAGAGTTGAATTAATAAGACTGATAATGCCCAGGCTAAGAAACTGTATACACTTATGGAAACACTTCAGCTGTGCTAAACCCCTTGTACTTTTTGTTTTATTTATTTATTTATTTTTATTTCTATTCACTTTATATCTTCTCCCTTGTCATGTATGTCACACAACTTTTATGGCAGTTTTTTTATATATCTGGCACAATGCAGGAGGTGTGATTTTCTTTTTGCTTTGACATGAGTTGGACAGTTGGACAGAAATGAGTATGTCGCTGTTATATACTGTTCTATTGTTCTATTATCTTCAATAAAGAATAAAAAAAAAATCTCTCCCTCTCTGTCTCAGTTCAGTTCAAATGACAGCGAATGAAATTAACAACTGATCACTTGAAAAACAGTACAGTACAGTATTTAAATCAGTAAACAAAACAGGATAATATGTACACACAGTACATATATAAACACACATTTAATACCTGTGGCTGCTGAAAGCTGAAATACATTCAGTCCTTAGCTGAAAATGCAATAGTTCATCGTAGTAGTGTCAGTAGCAGCAGCAGCAGCAGTAGTAGAGGTAGCGGTATCATTAATATAAGTATTAAAAGTACTAGTACTAGTAGAAGTAGTTGTAATAGCTGTAGCAGTAGTCATAGTAATACTAATAGGCCTACTGCTAGCAGTATTAGTATCAGTTAGTAGTATTACTTGTAGTAGAAGTAGTAGTTGTGATAGCTGTAGTAGTAGTAGCAGTAATCATAGTATTACTACTGCCAGTAGTAGCAGTAGTAATACTACTATGATTACTGCTACTACTAGTAGTGCTACTTCTAGAAGTAGTAGTAGCAGTAACAGTAGTACTCCTGGTAGTGGTGACAGTAGTAGTAGTAGCAGCAGGAGTAGTAGTAAAAGTAGTAGCTGTAGTAGTACTTGTAGTAGAAGTTGTGATAGCTATAGTAGTAGTAGCAGTAATCATAGTAGTATTACTACTGCTACTACTGGTAATAGTATTACGAGTGGGTGCTAGTAGGATGTAGTAGTAGTAGTAGTAGTAGAGAAGAGGCGAGATATTTATTGTTAGCAGTATTACTACTACGAATTCTCTTATTATTTAACAAGACCTTATGATATAGGTCTATACAGAAGCTGTGTTTGTGCTTTATAAGCATGCACTACAGGGTCCATTGTAATAGTGTGATCCGGGACCCATCGCAACTGATCCTCCACCCATCACAGTACTTCAATTTTTTTAATATAGTTTCCAGGTAAAATATCTATTCACTGACCCTACTCACCACCACTACCTGGTGGTCACAAGCAGTAAGGTTTATACATTTAATACCTCTGGTCCAGATATATCCTGTGTACTTTATTAAGTAGTACTACTGCCTCTTTGTGTACTCTTTCATTCTTCATCTCATTGTTTCCACCCTCTGTACCTGCTCCTTCTCCTCTCGATGCTGCCAGTTTTGAGCCACTATTTCCATAATCAAATTAGAAATGCCACAGGTAGGTAGGCTACAGGACATGGAGACAGGCACAGAGGAGAGGTCAGTAAAGTCAAGTGCTGACCCACTGCTCAGTATGAGGACTGTCTGGTCTCTGACACCATCCACTCCATGAAGTGCTCATGATTTCAGCAGCCATCCTGTAAATGTAATTTCATTATTCAAGTATTGTTGAAGCTTTGATAAAGCCAGGCTGTAAAGGCCTATTGGTGGACACAGTTACTATGGGGAACATTTTGACATGTCACAGTAAATGTGCAGGTGTAAACAGTAAAATTACAGATGGCTGAATTCCATTTACAGTAGGTGCTTCAGTTTAAATTTAAAATCAGCTGAAAAGACAAACAGAGATGAAAAGAATTACCAATTTTACTGTTTTCTTACTCTCGTAAATTGAGGACTTCAGACAATCTAAACATTTTTATTTGTCGTGAAACTGACAAGAAAGGATTTCAAACAGACTGAAACTGAATGGATATCTCGCAAACTTATTTAGGAACACCTTTTTACTTTCTTCACTCTGTTGTCATATACACACAGGCTTGAAATACACACACGTGCACAAATAGGACCTATACATGCATGAGGGTTCTGCCCATGGACAGGCGCCCTGAGCAGTTGGGCAACTCAGTGCCTTGCTTAAGGTGCCAGTTCGTGCCCAGGAGGTGAGCTGGCACCTCTCCAGCTGCCAGTCCACACTTCATATTTGGTCCAGACGAGGATTTGAGCCGGCAACCCTGCGGTGCCCAACCCAGGTCCCTGAGGCACTGCCGCCCCAAATTATAAAACGGACATGTATTTTTTTTGTAGGAATTTGTGAGGTTATGTGATATACAACAAACAGAGCAATGCAGTTAATAACAAATATCATCATAACCTATCATTGTCATAAAGGCTCATTGTTGTACACAACCAGTAGCTCAAAATGTAATATTGTTCTCCCAGTCACCACTGGGTGGCAGTAGCACATCAACTGTAAGGAGACAGGATATATTTTTATGACAGCCATGAAGACAGATAAGAGTTTTTGCATTTAACAATTTTATGATTTCACTACAAAATAAAGTCTGTACTTTTGTAATGTCTCATGATGCATACATGGCAAAATCATTCAGATTTCCATAAACATTAAGTGCAAAATCACAAATTACACAACAGCCCTGCAGTCATGTGCATTACTGTTATATAAAACCATAAATATTAAGTTTATTTTTTATACAAGCCAGAAGCACCACATGGTACAGAAAGTTCTGGTACAGTTTAACCTCTGGTGATGTCCACTGCTCACTGTGCACCAGATGGCACTGCCTGCAGTGTGTTATGTGCATTACTCTGGCAGCTTTCAGTCTTGTCAGACACTGTGTTGTTAAGGTGACATTGTTGAGCACAGGGGAAGTGCCACAGTGTCTGTCAACAGCAGTTCCTGAGCCTGTGTCTGTGCAACGCTTTAAACCATCAACTTGCGTGATGTCAGTTCTTGAGCAAGAGCTAGAGCTCACACTGCAAACTGATTGGTTTTGAATCATGCTGCATTAGATCTCTGGTGCTCCTTATCTTCAAGGCCTTTCTGTGCCTCCCAAGGCCTCTGTGCTTAGAAGCTGCATCAGACAGGACTTTGTATTGCTCAGACTGAATGAAGCGTGGGAAGGAGCCGTTCTCCATCAGGCTGTAGATTTTCCTCTGTGCCACAACAAAACATGTTGGAGTTGGCTGCTGGAGATTCTGGCTGATGATCTCTCTTGTGTGGAAATCTAAGTTTACCTGCAAAGATATGGAAAGGAAAACAGCTAGAATAACTGAATGTAGATTTTAATAGTGCAGCACATATGGCTTAGTGTGTGCAGCCACCTGCATCTTTACCACAGTCAGAAAGTAACTATTTAAATGCTGGGTGCTGTGGTTGATGTGCAGTAAATGATACAGGTCAGCCTTTTTTTAGGACTTGAACCTTTTTATCAGAAAATTGCACTTGCCCTGTTCAAGCCAAAAAAGTATGGCCTCACAGTTGTAAAATTACTTGGATATTCTGCGTCACTCCATAGAGCAGGAGTGCGAGAGACTTAGCTGTCAGAGTGGTTTAGCACTTCGCTAGCTTGAATGGGGATAAAATTGTTTAATTGCGTGGTTCTTCTAGACTTTAGAAATGTTACTGGATCAAATGAAATTCTGATGGTAAATAACATTCATTTTATGGCAACAGTGACGCCCCACAAAATATATCCACTGATTTACAGACATCTCTTTCCCAGTAAGTCTGTGAGAGAAAGTCTTTCTGGGCCCAGTGGCATCATGTGACAGATCCCGACATTATAGATCCACAGTTTGGCCACTTTGTCAAATCGGCATCAAAGTCTGGTGCACTTACTGGGGGACTTGCTCGTGACAGGTTGTAAACATAAATGGCGTCCTACTCAGTTGAGTTGTAACTTTAGCTAGCTCAGTGGTGCTACATGAGCTAGCAGTAGATGTATGCTTGGCAGGTATAGTTTGGTAGCAAGAAAACAATTCCTTCATGAAACAGCTCACAACAATGTCTGCAGATTATTTTGAGTAACCGGGTCATGATTTCTGGAAAGAGACATTGCTGTTGAGTTTGCAAATATATGTTTTTGGCACTTTGAGCACCACAAGCTGAGTGCCATCTAGCCTCATTATATCTAAGGGGAACTGCCCATTGGTTCGACAGCCCATTGTTCCGACCATATTAAACTCATTGTTCCGAAGTCCGTTCCGAAATCATCATGATGCCCTGTGGTTAAGGTCTGGTTAGGTTTAGGCACAAAAACCACTTGGTTAGGGAAAGGAAAAGATCATGGTGAGGGTTAAAATGAAAAAGAAAGTGACAAACACATAAGCCGTGAGCCTGCTCCGCCTCAAGCCGGACAGTCGGACTAAAGGGATGTCGAACCAATGGGCTGTCGAACCAATGACATGGACCCATATCTAAGAAAGGGCAGACATCTCTATAGCTGATATCTCCAACACTAAGCAACTCACACCAAAAAAATCTAGACTAGGGTGACCATATTTTGATTTCCAAAAAAGAGGACACTCAGCCAGCCTTGACATAGCCTACTTAAATGATACTCGCAGTTTACTCAAAGATGCCTTATAATTTTAATGTATTTAAAATTTATATGTATGGATAGAAAATTCAGTTATATTACAAAATAATATCTCTCAAAGACAGAAATTCAGATAGGCCCCAATAGGGGACACATACACACACTAGAGTGTGGCGATCTGAGCCCGACAGTCCCCGACAGATCGGCCGGGTTTGGTCAAAAATGTAGCTATAAATTGTATTCGGGCTCGGGTCGGATTCGGTCAGCTTTCAGTGAAAATGTAGTGTAAAAATAAATAAAATCCTATTGTCTGTCCTGTTTATTGCTTGGGCACTGTTATTTACGTGACAACACCTGAACATAACACACACAGACACACATTGGCTGTTTGTTTCTACCTCTCCCCTCTCTGGAAGTCTCGGACCTCCAGCCGCCCGCCTCCGCCTTGATTAAACGCTGAAAATAAAATAAAAGAGGGAGACAGGTTTTTCCTATTTTATCTTATTTTGTTTTATTTCTCCCTCTCCTCTCACTGGAAGCATCGGACCTCCCACCTCCCGCTGCTGTCTTAAACACGAAGGTCTGCCTCTCCGCAGCTGAGCACCCACGGCGCACACCCGGCCTGTTAAATAGCCTGTAACCACTGTGTGACACAAACTCAGTGCTTAGGTCATTAAATAATGTCGGGCTTGGTTCGGATTCAGACAGAAATATGCTGCCCGTGCCGCACTCTAACACACACACACACACAAACACATGGAAAACCGGACATTATCATCAGTTTATAAAAAAAAAACCCAGACGCCCCGGACGGGACGTGAAAAGTGGACATGTCTGGGCAAAAGAGGACGTTTGGTCAGCCTAGAATATGTATGTTTGAATTTAGGGTTAACCGTCCCTTTAACTTATGTGTAAACAACGTTTTTCATATGCTATGCTTGTATTTGGGTTTGAACCCATTTTGCTAGACAAAAGTTCTCCCCTTATCATTCTGGCCCCTCATAGAGTTTGATTACCTGTTTGGGAGACTCGGCCTTGACAAACTCTTTATAAATACTCGCTGCTCTCCGTGTCAAATCCTCTTGACTGTCAGAGGTTTTGAACTCTTGACAGGCGAGCCAGAAGTCCAGGTTTTCCTCACAGAACTCTGATTTCAGAAAGTCCCGAAATGCTTTTTGTCCACCTTTTACACAAGAGAACATAACCTCATTATCAGGAAAACAGAAACCAACCATGACATTAGTTTTGTTGCTTGAAAGCAGATGGAAATTACATTTCTTGGAAAGGAGTGTCTCAAGGGATTCTCCCAGTAGGCTTGTTTCATTTGTTTCCTGTCTGCAGACAGGGGAGAAGGACGGCTTTTGTAATTTGTTCACATTTTAAAGAAAATATTAGACAGCACAATATTAATATGCATTATGGCTAACTTAAAAGTATACCTGTTGATTTTCCTCCATGGCATTGGACTCTGGATGAAGTTATGCATTCTGGATTTCCATAAGTTATGTCTACAAGAGAGGAGGAGAGGTTAAAGGAATATTTCCTGCCCTAAAATTGTGATTTGTATATCAATTACTCACCCCATGTTAAATTGAATTTGTAAAGAAAACTTTGTTTTCCTTGTATGCCTCCATGGTGAACAGAAGATCCCAAAACACAGAAAATTCTTGTTGAATGGAAGTCATAGGGGTCCACATTAAAAAACAGCAAAACTATATCAAAACATCTGTTTACAAACTCTCACACAACTTGTGCAGTATAATCCAAGTCTCATTTATCCAGTCTTATGCTCAGTACTTCTCAAACAAACAACTCTTTCTGATGGGGAACTAAACTAAAAGTGAAACTTATCTATACTGCCTTCAAAGCCAGGATCCATTATCAAAAACTGTGATTTTACTTCAACTTGAACACAGGAGCTGCTGGTCTACCGCTGCCTCAATCCATAGTTTGTTTGTGTTACTGTGTGACTTTGCTGAACCAGAGCTTACAATTGAACACACCAAATTCACACAATAACATAAACAAACCAACTGATCAAGGCAGCAGCCAATACTTTTTCTCTCCGACCTTGTCACATATCAGTGCTTGGTCATGGACTTTTCATGTTGAGATATGAGGTGCAAGGTACCCTGGGTGCATTAATTGGTGATGTCCTGGGATGCCGTGTCAACTTCAGCCTGTTACATGCATTGTTTGTTTTTCACAGGAAATGTACACTTTGCATACAGTACATGTGGATATGTTTTGCCAACACATACACGTGGTTTGGTGTAGGGGAAAAAAGAACAGGTTTTGGCTTCACAATCTTACGGGAATTGAACACTAGCCTCCCGGGTGAAAGTTGGTGGTTATTGGACCCCCCCTTAACTTTCACTGTTGTCCTGCTGCGTTTCCCCCTAACATCGCTGGGCATCATTTAATAATAACAGTGACTGGCAGTGTATTATGCTGACGTGAGAGGATTGCTTTTTTTCGTTGGTGTCTGATGTCAGAAGTCACTTACCAAGCCTTGGTATTCGATGACTCAAAGACCAGGTTGCCGCAGTAGACCAGCAGCTCCCGTGTTCATCGAAGTAAAATTACTGTTTTTGTTAATGGAGTCTGGCTTCACTTTCAGTTCAGTTCCCTGTTGGAAAAGGGCTGTCTGTTTGGGAAGTACTGGGCATACGACTGGATAAATGAGACTTGGATTATACTGCATGAAATGTGTGAGAGTTTGTAAATAGATGTACTAATATAGTTTTGCTGTTGATAAAAACACAGACCCCTTTCACTTCAATACATAAAAATGTCTCTGTTTTTGGATTATTTGTTAACCAGAGGCATGCAAGAAAGACAAGTTTTCTTCATGAACTCAGTGTAACACAGGGTCAGTAAATGATATGCAGATGATAATTTGGGAAGTTAAGTATTCCTTTAAGAAAGTCCCAAGTGCATAAAACAAAGAGCCTTAAAAAATAAGCCTTATTGCAAATGAGAAATACTGTACTTACATTCTCTTTGTGTCCTGGAGGTCCAGAGATGTATTTGAGAGCCCGTTCATGGTTGATCTTGAATCACACTACCTCCTCTGTGAAAGATAATTTCAGTATGCATGCTGATGCTGCTGAATCCTCAGAAGAATTTTCCTCATAGATTTCACTCAAATTTCCAACCTCACAGCTTCACCACTGGCTCCTGACTGCCTCGTCTTACTGATGAGGGTCAAAGCCAGAGTGGAATCCGACTGTGATGTCATGACACCACATTTCTCTCATAACTACAGGTCTCAGCAGGTCTTCTGTCTTTCTATCTTTAACCTCTGTTGACACACAGCCTGATTGTTGCGTAATTAGATGGAACCACATGAATACTCAACGTGCGTCAAACCTTGTGCTCTTCCTTAATGTTTAATTATAGAACAAAACTATGCTGTGTGCTCCCATTCTCCACAGTTAAATGCCTCACATAGTCTCTATGGTTTTTAGCTCACCAATCAAGTCTGGGCTATTCTTAGTCACAGGTCAAGTAGTCATGAGTTTCTTTTAGCAGTTGAGCTTTTTCTTTTCCTTCTGTGTGTTCTTTTTTCACAGCTTCTGGATTACCTCCCATCCACTATCAGTGCTCGTTCATTATTTTTGACATTTATCAATTTTAGCTGCTTGTAATGCTGTTAATTTCACAACATTACACTAGCAAATTTCAGCAGCAGGGCAATACAATGTGTTTTACATACAACCTGCAAAATAAACATATTATGAAAGGACGTTTAAAAAGAATTAAAATCAGCCATTAAAGAGGCAAGAGAACAGAAAATAAAAAGCTATGATAGAACAAGACAGGTATCAAATACAAGAGTGAAAGTTACGGTGCATCTATGAAATGAATAATTATTTGATTTCATGAAAGGCAGCGGCAAACTGAGAAATGTTCAGCCTTGATTTAAAAAAAAAACATCACAGTTAACATTTTAAAAGGGTTTTCCTTGAAGAATTTGTCATGATTGTATTCAGCCTCAGTTTACTTGGATCAATGATATAATTGTATCTGTGTATTTGAAACTGTGTGTGCTGAAAGTGATATCATTGCCAGGGAGAAGATGTGACAGAGTGAAGGCTGTTTTCTGGGATTTGACAGTTCAATATCAGCAGTAGAAACCTGGGGTCGATTAAAATTGGTATTTACAGTCTTGTGGTTTAAAGGCCTAGTCTGAAATTGTCATCATATAGACCCTTTTAGGGCTGATGTCACATTGACGGCTGGGTTAAGATAAGACTGCGGACATCGCCAAACATGACACAGCTGTGGTGGTACAGGTGCAGCTGGAAAGGCAGCAGTGTGTCCCTAAAAACAACCAGCTTTGAGTCTTTGAGTGGCACAAGTGCCACAACTGGTATTGTTGTTTGTTAGTCCCAAACATGTTCTCCTGGGTCAAGGTCCTGTGTTTGTTTGACCCATTCACCTTAGCAGACTTTCACACTTTTAAAATAGCCAAGTGCATCTCACACAGACACTAAAGGTTGACCCCAGCGTCATTATAGTGACGTCGAAGATACTGCCCAAGTGGTGTATTTTGACACCCTGGGAGTGAGATTTAGCTGTAGTAAGTATTTCCAGGGAAACAAATAAGCTAAAACATGAACGTTATATTCAAGTGCACACTATCTTTGGAGCCAGAGCAATTGCCTACACTTGTTTCTTTCTAACCAATCTGATAAGTAACATGTTAAGAATAGCAGCACTCAAGCAAATTGTCTGAAAGCAGCTTCATCCAGAGATAGGAAAATGGAAGGAGATTATTAATAACAATGACAATTACAAAAGTGAGACACACTTGAGATCCCACAGATAACTCGGAGGATTATGAATTCAGTTAATCTATTTGAATTTAGATGGAATGAGATGAGGTAAACGCTGAGCATCGGAGGTGCACATTGCACATTGAGATGTCATATGAATAAAGAGAGGAAAGAAGAAGATACATAATATGAGCCAAATCTGTTTCTTTGTTTCTGATTAATGCAGTTGGATGATTTCTCAGTTATCATAATTTTTGTGTCCTTGTTGGAAAAAAGAAAAATAAAAGCAAATTCATCTCTCCCTTGTTTTGTCTTACTTACTTGGCACCAAAAGGAACATTAAAAAAATGAAATGACAGATCAGTTTTCATTTTTATTATATAAAAAGCGTCCTTTTATGTGTTGTTTTTGTTATATTTCCTTAGTCTCTGAGCCAGATATTGGACATTCAATCCTGCTTAATTTTGAACTTAATATTGATCTACTGTTAACTCAACAGGCATACAGAATAATTTCATAACACAGACGGCACACGGTCAAATAGTAATATTCAAGTGGATGATGATGACGATGAGGAGGACCGCACACAGAATGTGGAGGACAGTTCCACTGCTTCATGCAGCTGCAGTGCCAAATGAAAGACAGGGAAGGAGTGGTGACAGCCAGATAGGTAACTCCAGTGGAGAGAGGCAAAGGAGGAAATGTGTCTGTCCATTTCATCACGTATTGCAAACTTCAGTGTGCAAGGTTTCTATGTGTAGCCTAATGATTTTTATCGGATGACAGATTAAAAAAACGATTCCGAAAAAACTGACTCAGTGTGCAAAGGTCTTAATATTACTTAAAATATTGTATATTTTATTAAATGGGTGTCAGATTTTCTAAGTATTTCCAGACCAAAATGGAGCATTGACCATACTGAATGATAACTAACAATATAACAAGACGAAGAGTCTATAGCTGGTGGCTCTGTGAGACTAATTTAGCACAGCCCTGCTTTGAGCTAAATGCTCACATCAGAATGTTAAAATGCTTATTGCAACAATGCTAATATGCTGATGCTAAGCAAGTAATGTTTACCATGTTTGCTATCTTAGTTTAGCATATTAGCATGGCACATCCTGATTTTGCCAAGTGGTTATTGTCCTGAGAACAACATTTTTGGATGATAGCAACTACTTTATAATTTTTAGCATCAACTGATACTTTTTAGCTAGCTAGTTAATGCTTTCTACTTATCAATTGCTTGATCATTTAAGTTAATAAGTTCTGTCACTGCTAATTTAAAAAGGCCACCATAAAATAGGTGTTCTTGACTTATCGTGCGCCTTAGATTGGTTCCCCATAAGCCTCACTTTCATTGTGCAATAGGCCTACTTTCTGTCACTGGGCACAATCCTGGAAAAAAAAATAGGGCTACATATAACGGGCTAGTGTGCAGATTTTAGCATGCTAACATGCCACAGCCCACTAACTCCAGCAGCCAGAAACAAACATCTATGACTCACTGTCCCTTCGACAATCCAAAGAAAAAACACATTGTCTCGTAGTGGCCTTTCTAAAATGAGCAGGAGTGAAAGTTAAGGTTAGAGTATTCTGTTATGATCATGGAGTTAGTACTAAGCTTGCTAACTGTTAGCTAACCTTTGCAAGCTAATGTGAGTTTATTTCCATGGTGGCAAAACACTAACAATCAATCTAAAAAGCAAATATATGTTTTACTGTCTGTAGTAGCAGATGAGTGTAAACTTAAGTAAAACTTTCAGGTTGGGTCTCATCTTGTAATTTGGGCCTCTTTGCACAGCCATTTTGTATTTATTTTGCAGGGCACTGGCGGCAGGGCTCTCTTTGATGACATCACAAATGTTGATTGGCTGAGGCAGTTGTTGTCCCAGGGCTATCGTACAAAATGTTGCTCTCAGGACAACTTGGCAAATTCAGGACGTGTTGTTAGGATGCTGACATTTGCTAATTTGTACTTCACACAAAGTGCAGCTGAGACTGATGGGAATGTCTTCAGGTTGCACATAAATGTCTTCAACAGATTTCACAGTGTTACATTTCTCACAAACATGTTACATAATGTTTATCTGCTGAGGGCATCAGAGGAAAAGTCATTAAGATACATCTTCTGTACAAAACTTCACGTGAATGCATTCAGTGGTTGCGAGACACTCACGTCTAGACCAAAGTGGTGAACCGACAACCCGAAGGACTGACATTTACATCCCAACAGCTACGTCACCAGCAGGGCTGAAAATGTTTCAGTCACAAGCTCAAAAACTGGAAAACTGCGGCTTTAACTGTTGGTAATGACAGTCAGAGCTGTGTCAGAATCTGAAAGTGAGAAGTACTTCCTCTTATTTCTGTCTCTTCATCAGAAAGATATCCCCTCTCACCTGACACTTAATGGGACAGGTTTAACCAGTCACTGGTCTCATTAAAATGTGTACAGATCGTTCTTTTAACAGACAATCTTTGTATCAATGTGTGTTTTACAGTATATGGAATGAATACGACCTGTTGAACAGAAGGTCATTGTTAATGCGATACTTCAAACACCACACAAACCAAAACACAAAACCGGTATAGACGAGATTGAACCTGAAAGCACCACTGACACAAGGTCTTGATGTACGTGAATTAAAATGTGGTTGAGGAACAGGCTGGGCTGTGTGTCAAACAGGAAGTAGCGGTGAGAGTGAAAACCTGCAGCTTCATAAACAAGTCCAAAAGTGAGCTGTAAAGTTTTAATAACCTGTACTTTGAATGTGCTAACCCTGTGAGAGCACTGCTGTCTTCAGCTATGTGTCTGCTCCAACACCATCAACAGAGAATGTTTCAATCAGCACGTCATGACCTCAGCGTTGAGGACTATGCTGTAATGTATGACTATACCAAGTAGGTGAGACATTACTAGTATACTCACTTTTAAAGTTATCACTACAGTTCCCATTTTTTATGTGTGACCCCATGTCACAGCTTGTATTTCTACCACTTGTGACCACAGAATGATTTTCACCCTGTAATTATTAAAGGTTTGAAATAATGAAAAAAGAAAAAAAAGAAAATAATGCACAAATATTCGTGTATATCCAACCCAATAAAACACAGTAACTCTACTTGCCTAAATCTAAAGACACTTAATCATATTTCTTTTCTTAAACTGACCTTCGTAGCTTTACATTAATTACGTAACTTTAAGGATGTAACATCACTCATGGGGTGATAATTTGTAGAATATTAAGCCCCTTTTACATTGCCAGATTTTCCGCGAATGTTGGGCCATTTTGCCGGCAAGCTGAGAGCATTTAGACACACAGAGCTGGATTGGCGAGTTGATCTGAGGTGCCCAATTTTCATAGGGTAGTCATATTGGCGGAACCTTCTTGGTTTAAAAAGACAGAGGCGG